GACACACGATCCCCTACACTGACTGACTGTCGTCCAGGAGGGATAAGACAGTCACGTGATGCAAAAATCCCAGCCTTATGAAAGCACAGGCAACTATATTTAGTTTGAAAAACGATGACCTAGTGGGACTGCCCCTTCCTGTGCCCGGCCCCTTTGAGGAGCAGATCTCTGATGTGCACAGGAAGCTCAGCATTGAACCAAGCTACAGGGTTGAGACCAGGACACTCAGCACACAAGTGACGCATGGTGTGTGTGCACATGCACTGGTCATCCCATGGGATGTCCTGGAGCACAGCACAGGCTGGGGAAACCTTCCTTCCCTCCTCATCCTTGGTGTTGCAGGTCACCTTGCCAGCAACAAAAGCTGATAAGCACCAAAAGCAACAAACAGGACCCAGCCCAAGGCCCTGGACTTTATCTTGGAAGCAGCAGGTATGCTGGGAACTTCACTGGTGTGACTAGTACAGGGGTGGCACTCAGCAGAAAGGCACCAGTTGCTGGTGTCTCACCCAGGGCTGGCAGTAGAGAGTGGGGCTCCACTGCCAAATTCAGTCCTGGATAACAGGAGGGAGGTGACGCTCAGATCTGGTGATGGCAGGCCCAGGGCTGGGATCAGCCCTGCTCCTCTTCCTGTAGTGTAGCTCAGCCAAGGAAGCAGACGGGACTGTACTGAGAACAGAAAGGGAGCAGAAGCAGCTGTGCAGACGTCATGCATGTGTTGTCACCACAGAGAGGGCCCCAGAAAAAAGGTGTGTGGTGACAAAAGCCCAGTCCTGCACGAGCATCATCTGCTCCCCCCTCCCACCTCAGTGGAAGAGCTTCAAAAGAAACAGCCTGAGGACCAGACATCATTAATCTCTTGTCACTGGCAGAGGGGTTTTCTCTGCCTGCATCCCGCTGCAGCCGATGAGACAGCACAACCAGCGGAGCCTGCAGCACAGTAGGGAGAGGTCATTGTGTCGCAGCCAAGCCCAAGGCTGTGCACAGATGCAATCCCTTTAATGGCCGTCAGCCTCTTCTGCAGCTGCAACTGGGGACTTGGAAGCTGACAAAAACCCTTCTACAGAAGCATCTGGTACTTCTCACTGTAAATATTTAACAATGAACAGACAGGAATCGAGAGCCAAGCGCAGCCGTGAGCCCCTTCAGCTCCGTGCCTCCCACTTGCCAGGAGGGCAATGCACACTTCCCACAGCAGGCACCAGCACAGGGAGTGAGAGGTCACACAAGGAAAAGGTGTAAACTCAACACAAGCACGCACACCTCTGGAGAAGCTGTCATCTCAAAGAGGAGAACCAGAGACTCAATTTCTAGAAAGGAATTGTGAGGGAATTCAAATAACATAGCCAATTCTTCCCTGATGATTCCTGATGTCAGGGTATATTCTCCTAGCACAGGAAAAAAACATCTTCACAAGCCCTATATCTCAAGTTTGTGGCAGCGAAATTCAAGATTTTTCTTAATAGTGAAATAACACATACTGCCAACTTCCTTCCAGAGCACACAAACATGCAGATCCTGCTATACCAAGCATGCTTACCCAGCCAGGCAGGTGGTTGCTTCCCCTTTCTCAATACACAACACAGAAGCATTAAAAAGACCCTAATCAGAGTGAGCCTTCCCAAAAGAAGCCACAGACAGAAGGAAGTGCAAAACAGCATCATCTCTCCTAATTTAAAGACACACCTCCTCCCCTTTTCTTTATAAAAGACTAAAAACTGGAAACTGCTTCTGTACAGTGTGAGCATCACCCACATCTCTTTATGAAAGAGCTTCAAGCGTACAATTCAAAGCAGCAATTTGTAACTCAAAAAAGGTATCTCAGTCACTGCTGACAGTTTTCCAATGATCAACTCAGGATGAAGAATAAAAAAAAAAAAAGGAAAAAAAAAAATCAGGAACAGCATGACCAATACAAAGAGCATCGTTTGCTGCTGTATGAAAAACCAGTGCATCCACAACTGAGCCCTGCAGTCAGGTCTGGTCTCTGCATCCCAACAAGAACACAGCAGTTAGAGACATATGGAGAAATATCAGTCAGATGGACCAGGGGCAGCCCTCTCAGAGGTCTGACCAAAAAGGCTGGGGTCCTCCACTACTAAGAGAGATGGGCTGACAGTGGTGCATGATATCGGGATGGCACTGCCTGACACACTGAAATCAGGAGTGCTGCATGAAACTGGTAGGAGATTCACTGAAAACAAGTGAAGTACTTCAAGCAGCAGACAACAAACTTCAGCAAGCCCTGTGAGGCAGACAGGATGGGCAGTCTTGCAGAGGATTCACAGCTGACATATCCACAGAGGTCCCAGTGGTGACATCCCCGCTGTCCTTATCCAACAGCAGGGGTGGGGAGAAGGAAAAAGCCTTTCCTTCTGCTCTATCAACATACAAATGAGCCCAGCACACATTTTTGAAGGATGTTGAGGTCTCTCAGGTTTTCTCCTGAAGTCCAGATCACAAGGTTTGCAGTGGCTTCTGAAAAGCAGCCTACATCTGAAGTACAGTCGCCCAAAGTGAGCAAGGAGAGGACTGAGACCCATCGTACCAGACATGGGTAAATCAGAAGTCTCCTGGACAGAGCAGTTTTATTTCCAAAGACTGTTAACCAAGCAGGATGCAAGCACTGCCTCCCTTCCACCTTCATGGCACCAGCACACGACACCCCACTGTGGGCAGAACGCCTCCAGCACCCCATACCAACAAGCAGGTGCATGCTCTGGGGCATGCCACAGCAGCTGTGCCTACAAAATGGCTGGTGCTTTGGCTCAGGCTCCTCACCTGACTAAGTCCCAGCTCTGTTGCCACAACTCAGCATTCTCAGTCACTGTGCCAAATACTTCCTTGGGCAAAAGGACAACTGACTTTTCATCAAGAAGGGAAACTGGCTATAAAGACCCATCTGGCCTCGTAAGATTAACCTTATAGAATAGGCACTGACATAGATTATTGGAGTCTGGGTGATTTGCAACAATAGAGTGTAGCAAATTGACTCATTAGCAAAGGAAAGGAGGTGAGGAAGTCAAAACCAACAGCTTCAGAAGCGCAGAGCTGCTGGATGCTAGAAGCACCCTGCTGGCAGTGCTTCTCTGCCCTTGCCTGCCACATCCACACTGTGCTGTGCGCAGGGGGTATCAAGCCTTCTGAGTGAGCTTTGGTGTATAAGGAAGAAAAAGCACAGTTTGAAGGCTTTTCTGGAGAAGGCATGAGAAAACACGAAGTACAGTGTCAAGAGGCTGCTATCATTAAAAGGAACCATGTTTAAGCTTTCATACTTAAAAATACAGAACTGCAAAAAATCCCCCAACCCTGTGGGCAATGTTTTCTGCAACACCCCTGACATGTAACATGCTTACTGAAGCACACGCTATCATCTGTTGCAGATGCACTCTTATGCCCCACCCCAGAGCCAGCTGTGAAGGTCCACAACCAGCTGGAGCACAGAGGATGGAGTGGTGCCAACCAGAGGACATCTCTGCATCTGCAGCACAGGCAGACAAAACACACCATCCAATGAAGGCAGACATTCAGTGGGGCAGAGGAGCTTCTTACAAGAAAAAGGAAGAAGAAAATCCCTCAAAGTCACAGAATTTTTTCTGTGCAGTCGTTACTCCATCCTGGCTTCAGGCAGGCTGTACTCACTACACACGAATACACCTCTGCTCCTCCAAAACCAGCTTTAATACTCCACTTTCATGCATGTTATGAACGCAATAAAAAAAATGTGAAAGGCTTACAAATGGTTGGGTTACTTTTGTAAAACCTAGAGAAGCAACTTCTGCAACACTAGGGGAATATCTGGCTGTATATCATGTTAGCTGGCTAGAGCTTCAGAAACAAATATACATACACAACTTCCAACTGCCTGCTCAATTCGTGAAGCCAAATTACTGTCTCCAATGTCACACCATACCTCTTAAAAAATAGTGATTTACTTTTTACTGAAACCAGCTTTAAGATAATTGAGCTGATTTTCATGCTTCCAAATCTCAATCATGCAATGCTTCACAATCAGCAGCAATTTACCCTCACACCATTGTTGCAAACTGGGGAAATGCAATCCTATTGCAAAGCCAAAAAATGCAGACAGGAGGTGGACACAGCAACGTGACCAAGGCTGCCCAAGGCCACATCAAGTACAGCCCCATACTGCCAGTGCCTTCGCTACAAGTCTCCAAAAGGCACTCTAGCTCCTGGGATAACAGGATATTCCTGAGCACTCTTGGTATCACGGAGTGAAACATAAGCCCCTCCTTCAACATGAGCTCTCCAACAGTGTCAACCTGGATGAAGAGCCCGTGACAGTCTGGGAAAAGCAAGAATTAAGGTGACTGATGCCTGCTTTAAAAAGGTACTGGAGTCAGGCCCCCAACTGAGCACAGCCTCCCTTTTCAGCTGATGAGCCCAAGCCTTTTATGCAGGGTCCATCTTTACGAGGCTCTATGCAGTCTGGGGTTCAAGAAGTAAACCATGGTCTAGCATTGACAGCAAACAGGTGCAAAGGGCACCACAGTCCTTAACAGAGATACACAGTAACAACACACATACTAAATTACCAAGGGGAAATTTGGATTTTTTAAAGTATTGCAAATTCAAGTATACACCTTCAGGTGTGTGGGCACATCAAGATGTTTGATAACTAACATAAACACTAACAGCAAAATTCTAAGCTAGGTTTGCATCTTGAGACATCAGTTACACAGAATTAAACCCTGTAAGTTCCAAGACTCTTCAACTATGGAATACCAAATCCTCCATGCTACATTGTTTTGGGATGAAAGCAACCTTCCACCAGTTGTGATTACCATTACAGGAAAGCACAAATGTGCCTGCTATACAGGACTGACTGTCATAGGGGAACAATAACAAAATATTAAACAATTTTTTTTTAGATGTCTGCACCAATCTTCTAAATTTGGTTAGTGCTGACTCTGCAAAAAGAGAAGTGCAGGAAAGACATGGAGGAGTGAGGTGTGAAGAACTCTTTAATTAATACATACCAGACTGGCCATCAGCTGGAAATATATCTGCAAAAGAAGAAAGAAAAAAATTAGTATTAGTTGCAGCTGGAGGGCAAATTATATTTAAAAAGTTCCTCCCCTCTTGATTTGTTTGCTTTAGCTAAACAGAGCAAGTATTTTCCTAGTATCCCAAGTTAAATATCAATCTAGCTGGGAACCCACCCCAATTCAACCACTTGTTGCAAGAAAGATTTTGAAGGAGTTAGTGCTTAAATACTTGAATGCATTGCTCTCATTAATAACCTTCTACACAGGCTTCTGACAGACAGCAGTGAAGAACAAAACGACTGCAAAATGTACAAAGTCCCCATCCACGAGCTAGTTGTGCCAACAACTCCACGCTCCCCCTGAGCAGGGTCACCAAATGAAGACCTGTGCAGAGCATCTAACACAGTGTCCAGCCAGGGGAAAGCAGGGGAAGCCAAGCCAAAAAATAATAATAATAATAATAATAATAATCAAATGAGCTTTTTCTGATGGTTCCATTCTTTGGAGAATGGGATACACAGCAGACTATGAATGGAAAAACCCTGTTGATAAATGCTTCCTAAGATGCTATGGAAACAGTGTATTTTAGAGAGTAATATGCTACATTTTCTTCGAGGAACTTGGAAGAATAGGGGGAAGGGAGGCTACCAGCAAGCCAAGGTCCTTCTAGGACAGGGGCAGGCCCCTGGCACCACCTTATCGGCTGCCCAAAGCACACATTCAGTTGGAAAGTCACAGAAGTTGCAGCACCAACTACCCTTGGCCAAGGCAATGCTTTTCAGACGGCACTCAACCAATGCAGAAACAGCAAAAACACGCCTCTACTAAAAAGCTGCTATTTCTCTGCCTTTGACAGCACACTGTGTACAAGGCATCCTCAGGAAGGGAAGCTTCTCTGCAGCTGACACAGTGAGAAAACACTCAGAACTCCCTCTGCTATTATGTGTGCTCATGGTTTGAGCCACACTCAAGGCATGATCTCAGGGAAAAGCCAGCATGCCCAGAAAAGCCTCCAAGCACCAGTCTCAATTCTTTGCAAACTGCGTGTTCTACTGCAGTCCTCTACCAGCACATCACCAGACACATCTGAACACCTTGCATTTCTGTGATGGCTACTGATGAGGTCAGGCTCCCGACAACAATGAACAGGAACACACTGTACTTGATCTAACAGGTCCCAAATAAGAGGCAGTTTCTTTATTTCCCTGCTTGGGCAACTTCCAGCCAACATCTTTGCAGAGGAACAAGGTGGAAGCACAAGTTAATGCATACCCCACTTTTTTGGATCAGCTAGCTGTACTAAGTACCACCAAAACCAAAATTAACAGATGAAAAAAATAATAGTAAAAAACAATGGCTGAGAAGGGAAATTTCCCTGTGCCAGCCAAGGCCTGCAGGCCTTGGCAACAATTCTCCTTGCTCCAGCCTGTCCAACCAACTCTCCATGTAATGCCCCAACCTGGCCAGCCACCCACAGAGGCCCAGGGCAGCCCCTTCCAGCAGCCACAACCACCACCATGTCAGGCAGAAGCTGCAGATGATCCCTCAGGGATGCTTCCTACTGGTCACACCACTGCTGCAGTGCAAAGCTGGCATTCCCTTGAGGCCTCTATGCTCAGCTCACAGCCAAATCCCCCAGAGCCTTGCTGAGCCTCAGAGATGTACTGCAAGGCTCACTTGGCTTCTCTTGAGATGAGCCATTGTAATTTTAGAGCAGATGTGCTGTAGAAAAGCAGTGGAAACTCCTCAGTGGTGCTGGCCAGCGGCAGACACAACTCACATTCACACTCAGGAAGTCTGCTGCCACCCTGACTACCACTGAGGAATGGCATCTGTCCATCCTCTAATCCTCAGCCCTCTTGCCTAGGGAGGCTCAGCCTGTCCAACTCCTCATACCTATAACCATAGCATAATAGAATTTAAGCAGAGATGCAGAGAGTTGGGTGAGCAGGCAACTTCTTCCAATGCAGAGAAAGAGCACAGTGCAAGCAGCTTGCAGGACACGCTCTTCTGAAACACAGAAGATGCATATGACACAGGGCTAGTGAGGGACTGAGGCACGATGTCCCTCCTGAATACCTCCTACTCTACAAGCAAGAGTGACTAGATTAGAGATTAGCTTGCCAGTTAAGGACAGTACTTTGTGTGCCCAAAAGCAGCCTAAATTGCACAGCTCTTCTCTCAAGAAAGTCACGGGGAGAAGGAGGTAGAAACATGCATGGCCAGCAAAGAAGTGTTAGGGCTGTGTTCCAATGGGCCCATTTAACATGTTTCAGTCCTCCTCAATACTCTTAAGGTTCAAAATCAAACACTGAAGTCCCAGTCATAGAGACAACGCTAAGATCTTGCTTACACAAAGCCTCAATATTGAAAGCAAACCAGCCCCAAGGATTTATCCAATGACACACACAAACAGTTTCCCACCTGCCTCACTTCCAGGCACCCAAAGCCAGGTACCCTAACATGGGCCAGATGCAGCAGGGGACGATGCTCCAAAGCAGCTCTGCACCAGCTGGCTATGCTCCCCATGCAGAGCAGCAGCTTCACCCCTGTCTGCTCCACATCTCCCTGCTACACCCAGCCACGCAGTGCTGGCTGGACACATCATCATCCTCGGGCAACTAAAAGGAAAAGGCAAGATAGTGCCAATGTTGCAGTGTAAGCAAGAGAGCCCCAAGAAATTTGGGCCCTGTGGTCTCACATTTTCTTCCCCTTCTCACGCGTGGGGTCTTCTGTTTTTCACCGGCCCAAATGCCAGGAAACTTTAGAGCCGATATCTGAACAGAAGGATCACAATGACGACATGCAGTGGAATCTCTGCAGAGGCAGGCATTTCTCAAGCACGTTAACAATCTATTCAGCTCTGTGCATTATCCACAAAGCCCACAGCTCAGTGGGAACCAAGTTCCATCCATCTCCCTGTTATCAGTGCAAGGGGTGGAGGAAAGGAGAGAGCAGGAAGAGGTCAAGGATGCACACTGTAGCAGCAGGATGTTTGGGAGGCACCAAGCATCCCTTTTAAGACTGTCACATGACAGTGTGCATGTGTTACAGGGGTGCTGGCTGTGAGCACCAATACCCAGAGCTGTAGTGCTAACAGCCCAGGAAACAGCTAAATTGAGGACAGTTCTTCCTATTTTAGGTGTGAGTGAGAGGGGGATGGGGGAGTGGGATATGGAATCACAATTTTTGCTTGATGATATTTTTAAACAGAAGAGGAGACCGTATGTTTAACTGGGGCATTTACAAAGAAAAGCTGCTGCGTCTACACACAGAATCCCCTCTGCAGGAGCTATTTGCCCACCACTGCTATGTATCAGATATCTGGGACAGCACCAAGCAGGCTCCTCAATTTAAGAGCCCACATCTCCCCAGTGCCAAATCCAAGCACCTTCACAGGAAGTCTGAACCTACCCATGCTCCTGCTGCCTCAACAGGAGCAGCTGAGCACGCCACATTCATTGCTTCCCAGCTATGGGAACAATCCTCACAATGCAAACAGCACAGGTAGGGAAAAGGTCCCCATTTACAGAGTCCATCTTCTGCTGCAAAGAGACCAGTGTTACCTGAATCTCTTCTCCATCCCCAGGCAACTTCTCAGCTCAAATCTGTAACCTGCCTTCCTCAGAGAGGCCCAGATAGTGCCTGCGCAGGTTCCTCAGACAGTTAGTAGCCTCTTCAAAGCAGCGCTTAGCAGAGAAGGGGGCGAGGTCTGCTAGAAAGAAGTAGCAAAGCAAGAAACCCAAACCCCAGAGATTAGCATGGACAATTAGGTCCCTCCCGAGGATCTTGCTTGCTTCCTGCTCCCCTCGTTCCTTTCCTGCCAAGCAGGCTCAGGGAGGGTCCAGCCCTCAGCCACCCAGATCTTCCCAGCCCTCCTCAGCCACCAGCTCCAGGCAGCCCTGGCTGCAGTACTAAGTCTCCTCACCCCCACAAAGGGAAGCTGAGGCTTGAGATGGGTGAAAGATCCAATCCAGATAAGTCGACCTTGGTCACCAATGTTGGCTTAGGCATTAAGACACCACAAAAACCATTCAAGAAAAAGGTTAAAGAAAACAACTGCAGAAGCACTGATCAGCTTTCAGATCCGTTTCTCCAGAAGTGTTGGAGCAGACCGTTAGGCCTTTGTAAGTGGTTTTCTGATGTCCATCAGAGCAGAGGATCAGCTCCTTCCCACACAGGCAGCCATTATCTGGGGACATCCCATTCACCTGTGCTAAGAGGCTAAAGAACAGCAGCCAGCATGAGCTCTGGCATAGATTTTTCACAAACCATGTGGAAACAATTCTTGCAATGAGTTTCTGCTGTAGAAAATCTGTGCCCCAGCTAACTTCATGCACTTGAAAAGGGATGAAGATCTCTGGCCTCAGCAAGCTGCAAGGGAAACACATCCTGAAAAAAATTACCAACTGCAAAAGAACATTATTACCTGGAAGAGCTCCCTAGCTTTAAACTCACACTAAGCACTACACTGAATTAGTACCTTAATGCTGACACCAAGTCTCTTCATGCAAGGGAGAGGAGCTTCCTGAGCGAGGCTGTGACTGGCATGTAACTGAGTGCACAGGCACCAATGGGATCAGCACGGTGCTGGAAGAAGTCTCTTCTCCAGGCATTAGAGATGTTCTGAGGAATGCAGCTGGTCAGCTTGACCAGAGAAAAAGAGAGTGCTCCAAACAAACAATCCCATGAATTCTGCACTCATATATGCACAGACACATGAAGCATAACTGTAAGGTCATGGCTGTTTTTCCTCCCATCCACTTATCAGTGCTTGTATTGGAGAGAACAAACACTGGATGTTCTCTCTCATTAACCCCTTCTCCTCTCACCCCAAAATGCTGTTCTCAAACCACAAGCCATAACACCAAACAAAAAGCCAGAGATAGCACACAGCACCTTAAAGGAAGGAGCAAGAGAAAAATCTGATGTCTGATGCCACAAAGCATGGCAGCTGACCCAGGTGTCTCATGCTTCTTAATCACAAATAAGCCTCCAGCCTTCAAGAGGTGAGCACA